TGCTGGTGGCGGTGGTGGTGGCGGCGGCGGTGGTGGTACCTGTTTTTTGGTTTTGGGTGTTTTGGCCAAGCCAAGAGCGGGGCGGGATCTCGTCGAGGCCAGAGCCGGGAGAGCTACGCGAGACTCCTGGGGATGCTTGACCGAGAGCCACTCGTCCGCAGGGGTTCACGGACCTTGGCCCGAGAGCCACATCATGTCTCCGTGGCGTTGCTTCGGGTTTTAGATCTGGCTGAGGGTTGGCAGTGTCATTATTCCTCAAGCATTCTGGACGAGTCGCAAGATGCATGATGTGGTTGGCTCCACAAGCTTGCGGTCCTGCTCTCTGTCTCTGTAGACCAGAGTTCGGGCATTGCAAGCATCATTCGTGCCGGTCAGCTGCCGGGATCTGCTGTGCACAATTGTTCGCAATTTCGCCGCGGTATCTTTGCCAGGCTACATAATGCAATTTATGTCTGTATATAGGTTATAGGGTAGATCATTATACCATCTGGAAAACGAAATTTAAAGAAGCTAACTCATGGTTAAATAGATAGTATATATTTATACACATATAATAATGAACAAATGAACAAGTATGTGTATATATATATGTGTGTGTATACATACATACATATACATACATACATACATACATACATACATATATACATATATACAGCACACACACACGCACACACACACACACACATATATATATATGTATATATATATATATTTGTGTATATGTGTATATGTATGTATGTATGTATGTATGTATGTATGTATGTATGTATGTATCTGCCCGAGACTGCCCCCACTTGTCGTGCACTTCACATAAGACCCTGCCATGGCTGACGTCGGTGCACCTCGTGACCAGATTCCCCCCACCCTTGAGGGGTTTGTCATGTACTACCTCGTCAAAGCCGTGACGACACCGCCATCGGAGCTGTGGGGCATGATTCTACTTTACGCCCCTTGGCTGCTCCTGGTGCTCTTCCTTGTAACCCAGGCCAGGCCCGCGCTCACCCGCCGTTTCACTTGGACAAACCCTTCACCTGGCCCCACACACCCCACAGAGCCGCCTGCTGAACCCTTCGCGATGCCTCCCAAAAACACCGACGAAACAACCGAACTTACCCCTGCAGACTCGGACCCCAACAAGGTGGAGGACGCCAAAGACCCACCTCACCCAAGTAAGGCAGAAGAGCCCAAAGATCCCCCTCTGCCACCCCCCTCCTCCCCTCCGGCATCGCCCTCCCAACCCCCTGCCTCGCAGACCCACGTCAAAACCAGTGCCCCGACTGACCCAGATCCCCCCACCCAGGAGCCGACCACCACTGGGGTAACACCTGCTGACACCCCCTCAGTCCCTTCGGAACTTCGCGAATTTCGCGATGCTCTACAAGACATCAAGACCTATGTCGACGACAAAAGCAAGACGCTCCAGGAGGTCAAGGATCTCTTGGCCAACAAGGTGGGTCAGACAACTGACCTCGCACCGACTCTCCAGTCGGCCCTAAACCCCCTCGTCGACTCGCTCGCCACCGTCGACACTGCGACCTCAGGGGTCGCACGCGATTTTTCCAACTATACCTGGGAAGCTGGCGGTCGTCACCAAACTATGGAAACCACCCTCACAGGTGTCCACGGCATGGTGCGAGACCTGCAGAATCGCGTTGGAACAACGCAACGTAAGCTGGATGACTGGGTGAAGAGCTGGGGGGACAGCTCGTCGGCTGTTCCCGATGACAGCCCTGGCGTTGCCAAATGCCTTTGCCAGTTACGTGAACACCAGGATGAACTGGCGAGATACAACCAAGCCAGCGAGGCAATGGCTGGCAAGCTCGACTCGATGATGGAGACAATAACTACTGTCTCCACTCGGGTCCAAGCCATGCAGACCGTCTTGGACAAGTTGGTGGCGACGAGACCCAAGGCGCCCCCGCCGGCCTTTCCGGCACCTGACATTCCGACGACAGAACCCACTGGACCTCCCCCACACCAGCCCCCAGGCCATTGGCACACCCCGAGCCAGCCATCGACCATACCCGCCGCCAGCAACCTTGCTGCAGCCCCTCAAGGCCTACCCCTCACAGCGCCGCCATCGAACCTGCAAGCGACCCCAGGCATTCCCATGGGCCTGCTCGCGGGGGCTAGTGTCATTAACCTTAGCCCACCACCGCAACGGGACACCGTGACAGTGTGGATGGAGGGCCGTGCATTCCAGGTCCCTGCTGCGATGATCCGTGGGAGTAACGCACTGCTTTTTGGCCTCCTGGCCACCTTAGCCTTCTTGCCCTGAACCTGCAAACTTCCTTGCGCAAAACAGGGAGTGGAGCCACACCTGCTTGCAGCTGAGTCAGGACAGCTTACGCCAAGTGTGTGCGGCAACACTGAGGTTACGCGCGCTGCAGCCCCCTCAGATACCGAACGGTCCCTCACATGTACAACATATGACTTTAACAGCACTACCTGAAACATCTAAAAAGCCTCGCCCCCTTGGCCTGGTAGTGATGCCTTTTTCCTGTGTACTGCTTTTCTTTTTGGGCACGCTGCCCCTGCCTTGCTGCTGTTTTTGCACCTTGCCGCACTGCCTGCCCTTGCTGCTTGCCTGCCCTGCCCACTGGCACCGGTCCTGTCGATGCTCGGTCGATGATCATGTGAGATGATGTGTGATGGTCATCGCCAAACATGATCACCCAGACGACGAAGACGACTGCTGAGGGTATATCCCCTCTGAGCCCATACCCGGCAAGTGCCTAGAATGGAGAGGGAGTGCTCAGGGCCATAGGTCGTATTCGCCCCGCGAAGCCATGGAGCATCTGCGCCGTATCATTGAAGCACTGTGTGGAGTGACCTCCCTGGCTTTCGTCCGGACGACCCCCGCCACATGCAAACTTGAGACGCTGCAGGACAGATATTTTTTCTGGCAGGCTTTACTGCGTAGTGGCGGGAACTCGCTGGAGCCACAAGTTGAGCCCTCGTGACCCAGAATCTGTACAATAGGCACAGCTTGTGTAGACCTGAACGAGCCCCTGCAGGTGTCAAGTTTTACTGCAGCCCCGATATGTGACCTTTGGAACCATGGGGCACCTGCACCGAACCGATGAAACACTTTGTGGAGTTGACATCACTGGCTTTGTCTAGACGGTTACAGCTGCATGCAAAACTGAGACTCCGCATGATTGACATGTTGCTGGCTGGATTTGCTCCTGCTTGGTGGAGTTCGCCACTGGGCTACAGATTGGAGGCCTGGTGGACCCGAATCCGCAGAATAGGCGCAACCTATGCCGCCTGGACCGAGCCCTTCAAGTACCACGTCTACTACTACTCCGAGTGTTATGTCTACTGGTAGACCACAGTAGGCCTCTGCGTAGTGGAAATAGTGGTGGTGACGGCACATGAGCCACTGGGAGTTTTCTCCCCCGTGCTGATGTGTGCAACCTACCTGGATGCAACCTCGGCTGAAGGAGGTGCGACACCTTGTGGCACCAGTGGCCACAGTGGTTTCCCGTGGCTTATACAGCTTAAGGAAATCAGCCCTGCAGATCCGATGAAACCTCCTGGTTATGCGACGCACCCGGTGCCCTCGCTACCATTTGCTGCTTGGGGACAACGAATACCAGGCGAGGCCGCCTTCAGCTGGACTTCTTGAGCCAGGTGCTCCTTCGATCGCACCTGACTGCAACGGCATTGGTTTCGACGATGTGAGAGCCTTGAGGATTGAACTGATCCCCCAGTAGATGCTGGGGGTGATACCCCTGCGGCGATCAGTCGTGTGGTGTGCCAAACTACACAGAGTGCCATGGCTCTGGAATAGCCGCGCGAGCACGTGCCAGGACTTTGATGGTCTGTCTGCAGATGCTGTCCACCTGGATGTCGTCGACGAGTTCCTGAATCGCTGTGAGGTGTACAGCCTGTACAGCCTTGATCAACCTGATTGCTGATTTCCTGTTGTCAGAGAGTGCCCTCGCCAGAACAAGGTCTATAGTTGTCTCGAAGTGCACTGGTTCAGCTGGCATAAGTCGCTGGCTTCGATCCACCGGTGATCGTGAGGATCTCCCGAGTCGATTGTTTTCCCGGCTAGTTTGTAGCCGTATCTGTGGTTCCCCCCGGTACCTCGCCTGCAGCGTCGAGTGCGAGTGCTAAAAACGTATGTA